TTAAAGGTATCAACCAAGAGGCGATGTCTGTAGGGGCACGGGGGAATCTGGGGACCCTGCCAGGGGGCATGTTTGAGTCACCCACCTTTTGGTTTGGGGTCCAAAAAAGGTTGGGGTGGAAACAACAAGGGGGGACATATGGTTGTGCTTTTTTTTCCTCTTTTTTTTAGGGTACCCTTTGTTGGCTCAGTCAAACCAAAGGGGAAACAATCTGCTTTGAGGGCTCCCTATTTAGAGACAAACTCTTATCTGGAGTTTCCTCGAAAACCGTGTTATATTTCAGGGTAGACGAAATATGGCATAGAATCAGACGATGTACTATTTTCTGTGCACCCCAGATGTGGGGCGAGATATGGGGACCGCAGTTTGGCTGATTCTCAGCAGTACATGAAGAACATGATCCCCAAAACCCGTCCAACTTCCTAGGCATCCCCTTCCAGTTCATTCGCAACTCCTCCCTGTTGAGTCGCTGAGAACCAGGATACAAATATTCCGAAGGGGTCACCTACTGCAACCTCAAGCACTGCGTTAGGTGGGGCTTGATCAATATCCTCTCCAAATGACGGGTCACTTTTCCAATGTGGTTGAGATATCATTCGAGGGGGAATGGTTTTCCTCAAACATTGGTCATCTCCTTTGCACACAGGACCTTTTGATCAGTTTCCCCAAGTAAGAGGGACATCTCATTTGTTGAGTGGTCTTCCCGCGGCCTTCGCATCGGACCTTTGGATCAAAGCACGACCCGAGCAAGACGCCAGGGCGGACAAGGCCGTGGCCGTGCTGCAGGCACAGCGCATGGTCCCAGACAAGAGGCGCGCCCATCCCCCGAATCCGCCGACTCCGAAGCGCTCCAGGGGAGTTGTTTCGGTTGCCTCGCGTCGGCCGTCCATGGCATCACCAGCCTCGCTTGGCCCGGGTATTGGCTTTGATTGGGTGGCAGTTGGGAGTTGCCGGGGGTTTAAGCTGGGGCGGGGGGGGGGGGTTAGGCTGGCTTAGATCTTCATGAGGGTGGGTCTTGGGGTGGTTTTTGATAGGCGAAGCGAAGGGCTGACATTCAGGCACACTCAGGCTGTTGGTTTGGGATTGACTTGACTGGGTTTGGGTTGGCTTTTTTCGCTGATTTGTTTAGGTGTGCTGCAGGTTTAGCGTCTGTAGGGTTGCTTCAGCTGTGGTCAAGTGAGTCTTGGTCTCGTGGATCGGTTTTGGAGCGCTGCCCCCCACCAAAACTCGCCCACAACTCGCTGAACCATACCCAAGAGCAACCGTAGAGCCGCGGCTAAACCAGCAGCACACCGAATACTAATCAGCTCCAGCCAAAAGCCCCCCGAACTCAAACCAGCCAGCAACCCAGCAACTCACAATCAGAGCCAATAGGCAACCCCCAATCCAAGTGATGCTAGAGATGCTGGGGATATTGCCATCTTCAATCAACGATGCAGTCTTGTCTCTAAACTAAATTTCCCCAAAAGCGAGAGTGGATGTGCATCCCAGGTAAACCCCGGGCTGGTTTGGGGGTAGTGAAATTCGTAGTAGAAAAACATGGCTGTTCAAAATGGCGTTTTGGCCAACGTCCCTACGGGGAAACTAGTCAGGGGACCAAATCCTTGCTTGTAGATTGCCTTGGAGCCCAAGAAAAGGAGGGCTGGGGGTTGGAAATCCCATGTTCAACAAACGATGCCTCTGAAATGGGACTTGCAGCCCTGGTTCTTGTAGAGGGTACATGGGACACTACCCTTAACCACCACTACCAATCCAACCACCAATTGGAGGGAAGCTTCGACACATGAGATCAAACGCCGCGTCAAGGGGGAATCAATCCTCTGATTGCCTTCCTTCCAATAAAATTCCAGACTTCCAAAGGAAAGCACTCAAGGTCTTCCACGAGCACACCTTGGGAACTCAGACCCTGGATTTCTTCTGGCCGTTTACTGGAAAAGATTGACACGTCGCTCGAGGTCCTGCCCAGTGCTTCCAGCAACTACAGCAAGGAATTTCCTTCAGATCTTTTAGGTTTGCCACGATAGTTTCCCTGCATTGATACATGGAACTTGGAAGCACTGGGCACCGGTTGGGCACCGTCAAAAGAAGAAAAGGCGGCAGTCCTTGAAAGAGTCACTTCGCTCTCGCGCCAGTGCCGGCGCGGTGGACCCTGCGGCTGGCAGCGCTAGTAGCTGGCACCCCTACATCTTCATCACCGAGGCGGTCACGTTTCAGGGGGGTTGCGACGTCTATGATGATGGGTTCATTCATAGGGATCCCTTATGTTTAACCATTATAGTTTGCCCAGTTGCACATGCCTGGATGCTCTGAGCGGAAAATCCCTAGCTATCTCAGTCAGAACCCTGGTTAAAGCCTACTTACCAAGTGGGGGCAAATGAAACGAGCTCGCTGATCGGAGGGGGTAAAGCGAGTGAGCCCCACGAAGTACACAAGAGCAGTGCTCAAAACCCCATGAAGGCCAAAGGGCCGGGGGGGGGAGGCGTTCCTTTTACAGAATATACGGACCCTTTAGATATCTTGTGCATGAGGCTTGATGTCCACCAAACATTTTTGAGGGGGCTAGTTAGATGCTTTTTGCCGTGTGGATATATCAGGTTCGGTTTTGTCCCGTCTATGGTCCATTTGGTACGCTGAATCTCCCCTTGAGGGTTGGAGCGATGGATTTTCAAGAGCACGGAGGTTTACGTGGCAAACAGACGGACACAATACATGAATGGACAATAGTATTATATAATCGATGGTTTGGAGAGGCCTTGGGACCCAACTCACTTCTTTGGTTCCCAAAAAAGTAAAAGGCCCCAAAGGAACCATTCCGGATTTCAGCTACCACTAGAGTAGGTAACCCTTCAGGGTTTTACCTCTCGGTTGTACCATGCATGGTTTCCCCTTACCAACCATAGTGATATTGACGGCTCACAATGCTGCCAGCAATTCTCCACGTGACGGTTGAATGTACGGTTCCAAGCCAGCCAGTGCCCACATGGCGCCGACCGCTCACGCTCCGGAGTTTGGCTCAAAGACTTCCACTTGGCCTAAACCACTACCCCCAATAGTGAATGAGGTACCTTGATGTAAAGGTTGCTTTGGTTACATAAAGGTAATATAGACCGTTGTGCCATGGGGCGTGTAGAGTTTGGGGGGAGTGGACGCCGCTTGAGTGCGTTTTTTGCCAGCGGGAGGCGGTCAAGCTTGGGCCCATTGAGGCAGCTCGAACAAGCTGTTGTTCTTTGTCTTGTTTTTGGAGGGTACATTTGTGGGGGGTTGCTTATTCATAGGCAAACTAAGTTGCCCAATTGTTTGGTTTCTCCCATTTCACCACTTCAGACAGACGCGTATCTGCTTGCTGAATAGGGTCTTGCTCCGAAATCGGGTGACGGAGGGCGTGTAAAGTTGAGAGGTATCGCGACCAAGAAGAGCGCGCAAAATGAGATGTCCCAACAGCAGGGGGACTTGCTTTTGCTTAGAGCTGAGATACCCCCCCACCAACTGAGATTTCCACCAATCGGTTCGCCGCTCTAGGTGACCCTTGGCCAGCTTTTTTGCAACTCAGGGTTTGGTTCTATATCATGGTTCGGCTGCTTGTTATAGGTAAAAGGAAGCGCCGGGTAAGTTGGTCACCTTTTGGGATGACCCCACGCGTGTTCAGAACAGGAACCCTCAGGAGCCTCGGACCTTATGGGATGTCGTCACGCAACTGCTGCGTGTTCTGGAGTGTTATTCGCGCGCATTCCATAAGTCCATGTCACGCTGCATTATTCCTGTCCTGGTTTCTCACTGCAGACACTCAACTTAGAATGAGAGATCAAACACAACGAGTGATTTGGGCTAATTAGTGCTTTTGGTGCACTTTCAGGTTGGGCGAGACTTTGGTATGGGTGAGTCTTTTTTTGAGGGCACCCCTTTTTCGGTGGTTTTACAGGTAAACCAAGAGGAAAACAGCCACCTTCGTTTTTTGTTTTGGGGAGGGGAGGGTCCCTAACAAAAAGACACACCCGTATGTCGTTTTGTTTGTTGCGAGAAGAAAGGCGTCACGAGATCTTCGCCTTTTGTGTATCAAAATGAGCTGCAGCCTGGGCTCGTGCAGCTTCGCTTCAGAGATCTGCGACCTTTGCTGCAATGAATCATATGATTCTAGGGGGTTACCCCTGTGGGTTTTCGGAGGTTTTCTAAAGAAAGACAGATTTCTGGAAAGAATGGGGGAAGGTACCCCTAAAATGATCGATTGTTCCCTGTTGTTTTTGTTGAAGGAATCTATCACTGCTGGATCATTTTCCACGGGACTCCTAGGCAAATGGACGTATTGCAATGGGGGACCAACAGGGAACTAAGCATTTTTAGGGATCTTTGAGAAACACCCCAATTCTTTTGGCAGCGTTGTGTCATTGGCCTCAAACTTTGCAGTTGTCTTTGATCCATTGACACGTGATTCACGACCGTGAAGCTGCGCCTTCTCCTTTTTTTGGAACCACCATATTCTGGAGGTGGACAAGGCGAACCGTTCATACTGGTTTGTAATCTTGTTTGAGGCATTTGCTTCCAGAACAATTTGAACAGAGTTCATCACTTGAATTGAAGCTTCCTAGTCTTACAACCAAGCATTGTATTGGGATGCTGTGTCACAGATAACATGTTTCTACAGCAACAGACCTGATGAGAGGCAGAGGTTGCGCAAGCAAGGTGCGGTTGTGCTATGGTCAATGCCAGCGAGCTAGTTTGTGGCAGCTTGGTTCGTGTTCGAGCAGGCAGAGACTTTGATGCATTCAAGGCAGGTGCAGTCGGCAAGGTAGTCGACGTGAATACTCCGGCCGAGACATGCGAGGTCTTGCTACAAGGTGAGGATGTTGACAAGTCTGTGGTGATCGCGTGCCGGTACCTGGAGCAACAGACGCAGCTCTCACCGGCTCCCGTGCAGAGCAAGACCCTTGCAGTGCAGCCAGGAACTACCGCAGATGGCACGGGCAATGGGTTGGTGACAATGATTGGGCCTGTGATGCCTTGCTATGATGGACTGTCCAAGTGGAAGGGATGCGCCATGGCGGCAAATGGCAAGTTGTATTGTGCGCCATACCATGCACAGAGCATATTGGTGATTGACGTGAGCACGCAGCAACTGTCACATATTGAGCTGGGAGTTTCGTGTAAGGATGAGTGTAAGTGGAGTGGCATTGCTGCCGGCATAGATGGTTGCCTGTATTGCGCACCCTGCTCTGCCGATTCAATCCTGGTTGTAGATCCGGAGGATGATTCTGTAAGCTACATCACAGGTGCAGGAGAAGGTAGCTACAAGTGGAGTGGCATCATCTCAGCCTCCGATGGTTTGCTCTATTGTGCTCCTGCCAGTTCAGAAGCCGTGCTGTTCATTGATCCCAAGTCGCGCCAGCTCCAGCGCATACCGGGAGCCGGAAGGGGAGGTTCGAAGTGGAGTGGAATTGCAGAGGGCCCCAACGGGAACCTCTACTGTGCGCCCTCAATGGCCATGGCTGTGCTGGAAATTGATCGAAGATCGCAGAGTCTACATCGCATTGAAGGGGCATTGGATGACACAAGCTACAAGTACAAGTGGAGCGGTATCACTCGCGCATGCAATGGGCTTCTGTACTGTGCACCATACAATGCGTCCTCTATCCTGGTGATTGATGCAGCAGCGGGAGAGCTTGACTTCATCAGAGGTGCGGGCTCAGGCGATTGCAAATGGAGTGGCATCGGCCCAGGATTGGATGGTCGATTGTATTGCGTCCCGTCACGTGCCCAGGAGATTCTGGCAGTCGACCCAAAAAGGCCGGCCGAAGTAGATCACACCTTCTGCGATGCGCTACCTCGAGGTCACTCAAAATGGAGTGGAATATGCGTTGGGCTTAATTGCAGCTTGTACTGCACGCCATACAACTCCTCACACGTCTTGGTCATTCGCGGCGGGCAGAGAGCTACGAAACCTGGAATAGCCCCACAGGTCTCATTTGGGCACCTCGTCGCTGAGCATGATATGTGGAAGAAGCAGAAGGTGGAGTTGTGCTTGGCATTTCAGGCGCTAATGGAGCTGCCAGATCACGAGCGTGTAGCTCAGTACAGAGCGCTGTGCAGGAAGTGGCATCCTGACAAGAACTTGGACAACGCAGTCGCCGCCACTGAAGTCTTCCAACTTTTGCAACAGTTGCATCAGGTCTTTGGCAACACCTCCTGATCCTCCCCTTTGGCAGGGCAGTTTACTGCTCACGAGAGCTCGAACCGTCGACCTGAAGGAATAGCGTCCGAACGAAAGGAGCTGCTAGAATGTGGGGACTGGGGGACAACAACTTGATTGAGATGGGTGGTGACTTCTGATCTCGCATGTCACATCTGGGCCGTGGCGCGAAAAGTGGTTCTGTGGATCACCTCTCTTTGAACATGGACAGCCTTTTTGTTTTGTTTCTTCTTCGGGATAAATCCAAAAGCTATCTTGTACATTCGACCCCTTTTTTGTCGGCCAAGTTGGGGCAAAGCTTCTCCGAACACTGGTCGTCAGGTAGCTCGTCCTAATTGGCAGTTTGACCAAAGCCAATCGGAGTCAAGCTGTTTGGATCCTCCTCAACCGGACTAAGAGCGACATCGATCCATCGATCGATCGAAACGAGGATTCGGGGCGCAGCTGGCGGAAGGCCTGGGGCCGCCAGCCCGGGCTTCTCAGGTCGGTCGGGGCTGGGCTGGGCTGGGCTGGGCTGGGTATGGCAAATGACCCATGGGTATGGCAAATGACCCGTGGCAAATAACCCGTGTTTCGTTTTGGGGTTTCAATCTGAGCTGTGGCCCATGGGTTTTTGTGGGTGTTCCTGGCAAACCAAGCTGAAAAGGGCGCCGAGCCGCGATTTGGACCCATGGATTTTCCTTTGCCGTAAAGCTGAAGAGGGTAGCCCAAAAAAGAGACACTCAGATTTTCACCTGAACTATATCCCGAGATATGCCCAAGATTTCCCAGAGTTGATCCATCTTTAGCTCTATGTCCCATATTTCACCCTAAGTACACCCCGAGAGGAAACTATAAAAGCGGGATCATTTCCCCACAAAAACAAGGGCACGGTTCCATTTCCCATGGTGTCCTTTTCCGGAATCCCCAAAAAAATCATGTGAGAAATGGAGTAACCCCTGCAGACCATCCCCCACGGTTTCAATTAAAATGCCTGGGTTCATTCCCACCACCGGCCTGGGTTCTTTCCCTTGCGATCGCACCAAGTCACGGGCTCCACAGCTGGATCTCGCACCCCACGCGCCGGGCCGCCGCCCCGGAGAGGAAGGGCGTAGGGTACCCGGCGTTTGGATATGGCTGTCTGCCTCGTTTTTGGGGCTGGTGCCTTTTTCTTTGTGTGGTTTTAAAGGGACAGCAAGAGGAAAGCCTTTCAAACTGCGGAGTTACCTTTTTTTGTGACAAAGGGAAACCAAGAGGAAAACCGCAGTCCAGTCAATTAGGGGGGTTGCCCAGTGTTGGTTTTGTATAGGGACCCTCTAAAATGGCTGGTGTCCTTCTGGTTTCCCTTGAAAAAACACAAAAAAGGATCTCCCCACAAAAGACAGACCCTATTTTGAGACACGCCCAACTGAAAGAACCAGCCGAGGGCACCGCGCCAAAGGCCCTAAGTAGTCCTTGATCCCGTGGGACTCAAAAGGACCAAACCTGAGGCAGGAGTTTGTCCGTGGCTTGCCCTGCTTCCCGGACCTCTCACCGGCCATGCAACTTGTTCCCCATGTTTTGGCAGGCCAAAGCTGCAAAAGCTCGAGCTGCACCCGTTGAGAGGACGAACGACCGAGAAATCAAAGCGCATGGGCCGCTGGTCACTTTCCGCAGAGGTGCGTAGGGGCATGAATCATGTTGGTGGTATCAGAGCATATCTCACCCAAGAAGCAACCGATGGCAAAGATTCCCATGAGGGGAACCACGACAACATGTCTAGTGTCAACTTGGGATTAATCCGGAAGATCCTACAAACTTCAGAAGCCCCCATAAAATCTAGGTCATTTCCTTGCTGAGTGGGGAACTACCCCTGATTAGTACGGTCCTCCGCATTAATACGATGGTATTTTGGGAGTTTGAGCCACGATACTTTTGATAAGTTGTGGGAGTTGGGCCCACGAAAACCAGAAAGGAAGCTTCCTGACAAAACGACAGGGTTTCTCAGCTTCCACTCTTAGATGGCCCAGGAACTTAGCCAGGTGGTTAGTAACCACGATTATAGCCCACTTAATTACGTAATACCCCTCAATCAAGATCAGCCAGGGGGTATTCATCCTAGGCCAACATTAATTAGCGAGTGTGTCATCCAAAAAGAAGGAACCCCCAACTCCGCACGCCTCACTCTCACTCGACATCCAAGAGGGGCATCCAACTGGTGTTTTCCTTGGGATCTTAGTCCGTTCCCAACACCCTTTCAGCACATTTTGATTCCTGGTGACCAACAAGGAAATTGGGGGAGAGGGGGGTTTTAGATGACCAAGCCAACCTCCTACCCCCGGACTGGACCCTGCAACGATGCTTTTTGTTCATTCTCCTCTGAACATTTGCCGCAGCACGTGGCACCCCGAAAACATGACGCGGAAGCAGCAAACAACAACACGAAAGCAAAGCAAAACGACGCCAACGTTGTGTCATTGAGCTGCGTTTTGGGTCTTCCTAAAAACGTGAGAGCCTGGAGAACAAAAGTCTTTTGGGGGCTTCAGGGTATCATGTTTACTAGAAAAAAGAGGTACTGTAGTTGCCATGGTTTTCACCAGCCCCGGTACCTTTTTGAGCATCCGATCCCCCAAAAAGCCATCGCGGTGCCATCCAAAGGCCTGGGCCTTGGTGTCCTGGTGGAATGGCGCCTGTGACAAGGCTGGGTTTGGAGTGGAGGCTTCGCCCCCCGGGAGCTCCTCTGAACCACACCCAAGCCATTTTACGGCGTGAGCGGTTTTTGAGTGGGTTTCCTTTTTAGAGAGGTTTCAAGGGAACCAAAAGGATTTCACCTTGCACAGGACACCCAGATTTGGCTGATACATGTTGCATGTACAGGCGACCACAGGAATTGATCAGGTGTATTTTACAACAGGGTCTAGCTGCCCTCTATTGCGGATCTTCGACATGACTGCCGCAACCAAGATATGTCCGGGTGGATGAGTCTGTTGATCAAAGGCCAGATATGAGTGCTCCGATTTAATGTTGGTCCGTATGAAGAATGTCCTGGAACTATGCCATGAAATTAAAATGAATTCGGGCAGCTTGCAATCTGAGGAGACCACATGTCGAGGATGTTCGACAATTGCTATAGACATGGAGGATGGGTAGCCGGTCCCACTCTGTTTAGGCTGATTTGAAGACAAACCAACAGGAATACCGTATTTTTCCCAGCGGGGAGTTTGGAGTCCAAGCAATTTGTCGCACCTGGAAATCAAACCACGTCCTACAAGAGTCCCTTCGACTCACCTCAGGGTCCATGACGTTGTTGTCAAACTCACAAAGTGCCTGACGGTTCTAGGGGAATGACCAATTCCTGTTTCTGACTTTGATAATACCTTAGACACACTGGGTGCTTTCGTTGCCCCTATTTTTTGAATTTACCAAGGGACCCACCAGGATGGGTATTTTGTTCAGATTTTTGTCAGACCCCTAATATTGACCCCGGATCAATAATCCCCTGCTTATTAATATGGGGGTGGTCCCTCCAAACGTGGTCTGAACCCCCACTGAACCAGGGGCTTCAAAGTACTTAGCACTCAGAACAGTCATGGGTGGGCTTGAAAGCCCCTGGAGATCTGAGAAAGGGTGTTGGAGCCCTGAAGAAGCGTCCTTTTTGAGGCTCGGTACTCGGTACCCCTGTTTTATTTTTAGTTCTAAAAGGAACCAAAAGGACACACCCAAGTGCGAGAGATGTTTCATGCAAATGTGTGAGGTTTGCATCTGGTATACCACACATAGACAATTCAAATGTGTAAAGGACACATATTCGCGGTGACAATAGCCTATATAAATATGGTACAGACTGGGTCTCTTAAAGAGAACATTTTGAGGGACCCGTTATCTTTTTTTTTGGGTTGGGGGGGGGGGAACTCGCTTTAAACCACCATTTAGCTTGGGTAATTTGCAGGTTGCCACTAAGAACCCAGGTGGTATAGTGATGTCTATTGGTATGTGTCAAATAGGGAAACCCCCAAAATGGGGGATGGTTTCCCTTCACCCCAAAAGGGGTACCCTCAACAAAAAGTGCAGCCCATAAGCCTCCATAGCTTGAATCCTACACCTGGTATTCAAAAAAACAAGCCCCCACACTGAGACGCACAGCCACAGCCACGTTTGCCTTTCCCCAGTCACCAGCCACATGTTTCAGGCTTTCTGGAGATTAGGCGCGCACGCCAAGGTTCATTGGATATGAGTGTGTCTTGTTTTAGGGGACCCTCGAAGATTGTGGGTTTCTCTTTGGTTTCCCTTTAAAGCCACCAAACAAAAGGCACCCTCAAAAAGGCACCCCCATATGGACCAGAATCCACCATCCTGATTATTTCCTTTGGGGGTGTGGGCAAAAGGCTGAGGTAATCAACAATCTTATGTTCGCTCAGGTAGTTTTGTAGAGGGTCAGTTGGACCAACCCCAAGTGAGCCACATGAAAGTTTGGGTAATTCAGTCCCAGCCATTAACAGTGCGGATATCCGTCCTATTGATTCTTCGCCTGCTTTTTGGGTTCACCATTTGAATATCAGGCTTTCCTCCCCAAAGCAACACCCTCTGCATGGCACACCCATATCCAGTTTGGGGATCTGCCCCAGTGACGATCTCCCTGAGGCCAAGGTCAAGGGCTCTGAGGAGGAGAAGGAGGATCCTGACAAGGACAAGGCTAGGTTGGGGACAGAGGTTTTTTGGGGCCAATTCGTAACTTTGGGGCCCCCGTAACTGTTGTAATTTTATGAGCTAGACAAAATATGAAACAGGATCCACACGTATGATTTTCAGGTGTAGTGATCAAGTTTTGGTGTTGGCTTCCCTTTGGTCCCAGTGACCCAAGCTAGGCTGGTCTAGTGCTTCCCTTCGGCGTTTCGCCACTATAGGTAACCCGAATCGGGTTTCTTACCTGTATGGGCTTTACCATGAGTGGCTTCCCCTTGCCAACTATAGTGGCGAAACGACCGGAAGCACTGGGCATGAAAACAGACCCCCCCCCCCCAATGTCCTTCCGTCCGCCGCGC